AAAAGTGAGGGGCACTGAGTGTCTAGCACAATGGAAGAAAATAGCCTCTCACCAAGACATATCACTGCAATTTCAGAACACTGGAAATAAGAAGTTCAGAGAGGGGGAAAGGCACCCAGAAAGGACAAAGAATTAAAAGGCTTCAGACTTCTCATTCTCTACAGCAGTGTCAGAAGCTAGAAGACCGTATAGCAATGCCTTTATAATTCTAAAGGAATTCAGTACCCAGACGAACAACCAATCCAAGGGTCACAGTTGAAAAATGACAATGGCAAACATGCAAAGTTCCAAAATAATTTACTGCTCCCTTTCTCAGGAAGCTTCTGGAAGATGGTTTCCTCCAAAAAGTGCGTGTATTATAAATCAAGAAAAACACAGGCACGGGTGGGAATCAGAAGCTGGCTGGTGTGTGAGGGGGTTTTGTTGCTCTAGGGAGATTCTTCAAGCAATCACTGTGTCAACAGACACAGATGTTTCCCTTTCTTCTTATGATGAAAATCAGGAATCCAAACTTATTCGAAAAGCTAAAGAGGCACCATTCATCCCCACTGGATAGTAGGCCTGGCAGCAATTGTTGCATATGGATTTTATACCTTGAAGAGCAGGGGAAATACTAAAATGTCCCATCATCTGACCACAGGTTTGTGGCAGCCCAAGGGTCTGTTGAAGTAGCAACGACTGTTGGTATGGGCTACTATTCCATGTATCGGGAATTCTGGGCAAAACCTACACCTTAGAAGAGATGCTATCTTGGTCTTAGAGGAGCTTGCTTTAGTCTTTTTTTTTTTTTTTTTTTTTTGAGATGTGCAGGGGCACAATCTCACTGCAACTTCCACCTCCCAAGTTCAAGCCATTCTCCTGCCTCAGCCTCCTGAGTAGCTGGGATTACAGGTACTCACCACCACACCCAGCTAATTTTTGTATTTTTTTAGTAGAGATCGGGTTTTATCATATTGGCCAGGTTGGTCTCAAACTCCTGACCTCAAGTGATTCTCCCACCTCAGCCTCCCAAAGTGGCTGGGATTACAGGCATGACCTACTGCACCCAGCCAACATATCATTATTGAAGCTACATATTAATGCTGAAAATAAACTATTTTAGTGGGTTCAGATAATAACACAGAATTGTGAATACTGGCCTCCTTTCTTGCAGCCTTGATTTTCCTGGTGACTGAATTACTAGCGGCTAGTTTACCAACTAGGTCACTCAGGGGAGTCAACACGAAAGAAACATGTCACCTAAATGGACTTGATGGTGTTGAAATGTCCACCTTCTTAAACTGTTAAGATAAAATTAATTCTAAAGAAGATAGCAAGCCAACTCTGAATTACTCCCAGTTTGCTGCAGAATCTTGCATGTTTTGGATGTTATATGAATCCTATTTGCCCCAGTTAATTTAACGTTTTTCTGCCTGTCTTGTGGACTGGCTGGCTCTTTTAGAAGTCTGTCAAAAAAGTGCATTGAATATAACTTGTAAAGCCTCCCACACTGAAAGTATATATGTGTATGTGTTTAAATCAAATATACAGGCCAGGCGCGGTGGCTCACGCCTATAATCCAAGCACTTTGGAGGCCAAGGCGGGCGGATCACCTGAGATCAGGAGTTCAAGACCAACCTGACCAACATGGTGAAACCCCGTCTTAAAAAAAAAAAAAAAAGAAATCAAATATACAAAGCTTACAATAGAGTCACATAGCAATAGTATTTATTAAAGAATCACAACTGTAAAAATGAGAATAACTTATGTATTCTGGCTTAGTTCTTTTGTAATTGTAGACATCTATATTTGCTGCTGTTATATTAGAATATATATATGTATATATATTGAGACGGAGTCTCACTCACTCTGTTGCCCAGGCTGGAGTGCAGTGGCACCATCTCAGCTCTCTGCAACCTCTGCCTCCCTGGTTCAAGTGATTCTCCTGCTCAGCTTCCCAAGTAGCTGGGATTACAGGCACCTGCCACTGTGCCTGGCTAGTTTTTTTGTAATTTTTAGTAGAGACTGGGTTTCACCATCTTAGCCAGGCTGGTTTCGAACTCATGACTTTATGATCCACCTGCCTCGGCCTCCCAAAGTGTTGGGATTACAGGCGTGAGCCACCACACCCGGCATCTTAGAATAATTTTTAAACGTCATCTTGAAACAGAAACACGTATTTCAAGCACTCATGCAAAGGTAACTGAAGAACACTTTTAAAATGGGTGCGTTGTTTATTTTCTCGACAAGAATTGTAAACATTAAACTAAACATATTACCTATAATGGAATTGATTAATGATTTATAAGCAAGCTGGTTTGCACAGATGTTATACAAAAGCTTTTATATACTACAGAATGCCATTACACTTGTGAAATTCTCTTGTGTAACCTGAATTTACACTCCATGGTGATAACATGGTATAGGCATTGTTATAAAAATAAGTGACCATGTCAAAAAAAGAAAGAGAAAGCAAGAAAGCAAGCAAGCAAGAAAGAAAGAAAAGAAGAACATACAATATGGCAAATAAAAATCCAACAAAACAGTGAGGCAGTCAGGCAAAGTGGCTCATGCCTGTAATCCCAACACTTTGCCTTGTCAAGGCGGGTGGATCACCTGAGCTCAGGAGTTCAAGACTAGCCTGGCCAGCATGGTGAAACCCCATCTCTACTGAAAATACAAAAATTGCTGGGCATGGTGGCTTACGCCTGTAACCCCAGCACTTTGGGAGGCTAAGGCTGATAGATCACCTGAGGTCAAGAGTTCGAGACCAGACTTGCCAACATGGTGAAACCCTGTTTCTACTAAAAATACAAAAAAATCAGCCAGGCATGGTGGCAGCCACCTGTAATCTCAGCTACTCGGGAGGTTGAGGCAGGAGAATCACTTGAACCTGAGAGGCGGAAGTTGCAGTGAGCAGAGAACAGGCCATTGCACTCCAACCTGGGTGATAAGATTGAAACTTCATCTCAAAATAAAATAATACAAAAACAAAAATACAAAAATTAGCTGGGCGTGGTAGTGCATGCCTGTAGTCCCAGCTACTTGGGAGGCTGAGGCAGGAGGATGGCTTGAACCTGGGAGGTGGAGGTTCAGTGAGCCAAGTTCGCTCCACTGCACTCCAGCCTGGGCAACAAGAGCAAGACTGTCTAAAAAAACAAAACAAAAAACAAACAAAAAAAACCAGTGAGGCAAAGAACATGCCCATGAGAATGAGAAAAGAGATGCCAGGTTGTCAGATGTGCAGCAAGGTTCGGGGATGAACAGCCAGACTGGTGAAGGGAGAAGGTCAGCAGTCTCTAGCAGTGATGTCTTCAAGAAGATTAAATGGAGAGAATTCTCTGCTATATCTAGATATTCTGAGAGGAGATTTATGCAACTGAGGGTAGAATTTGAGGTAGATTTTGTTAGAAGAAAATAAATGAGTTTAAAAAATAAGATTATTAATTCCAGGAAAACTAAAAATTTGTGCAGGAAAAAATGCAATGCCTCTCTGGGGAGGACAGACCTAAGGAAGAAGCTGGGCAGGGAATTCCAGCGTCCCAGGTATTCACAATATAGTCTATTCCTGGGCAAGTGGGCTTTGCATGGGCAAATCCCCTTGGACCCCTCGCGCTGGGGAAGGCCGCAGCTGGAGGAGAGCTGGAGAAGTGAAGGTAAATGCCAGAAGAAACAGCTAAAGGGGGTCGAAACGCCTCCAGAGAGGGGAAGACAATGGGGGCAGGGCTCTGCTGTTTGTCTTAATAAATCTGGTACAATTATTTGTTTTTGTTTGTTTGTTTGTTTGTTTGAGGTGGAGTCTCACTGTGTAGCCCAGGCTGGAGTTCAATAGCCCGATCTTGGCTCACTGTAACCTCTGTTTCCCGGGTTCAAGCGATTCTTCTGCCTCAGCGCCCCCCCCTCCAAGCAACTGGGACTACAGATCCCTGCCACCACACCTGGCTAATTTTTGTATTTTTAGTAGAGATGCGGGTTTCACCATATTGGCCAGGCTGGTCTCGAACTCCTGACCTCGGGTGATCTGCCTGCCTTGGCCCCCCCAAAGTGCTGGGATTACAGGCGTGAGCCACCGTGCGGGGCCAATTATTTGATTCTTTATGTGTGTACATGTTCTAAGAGATATTTCACTGAAGAAAAGAAAAACGGTACAAAAAATAAAAATGCAATTCGTAAAAGTTCATGGAACCTCTGGACCACTTCTGCCATACTTAGAGATCTCAATAATAGTGTGAAAATCGCCCCAGCTGTGCAGGCGTCGCAGCAGCTCCCGGGGGAAGGTGGGAGCAGTCGGAAGGTGGCAGGGGTCCGTCCCCCTCCCACCTCCCGCCCGCCCCCTCTGTTTCCACCTCTCGCCACGGCGACCGCTGCGGGTTGCTCGCTGGCTCCCCACCCACCCGCCAACAACAACAACAACAACAACAACAACAACAACAAACAAAACCCAATTTGAAAAACAGGAACCAGCCCGGGCAGTGTAGGGAGACCTCGTCTCCAAAAAATTACAAAATCAGCTGGGCTTGGTGGCACACGCATGCAGTCCCAGCTACTCGGAGGCGGAGGGAGAACAGGTTGAGACCAGGAGGCTGAGGATGCAGTGAGCCGTGATTGTGCCACTGCACTGACAGATCAAAACACTGCCTCAGATAAGAAGGGAAGAAGGCCGGGAGCGGTGGCTCACGCCTGCAATCCCAGTACTTAGGGATCACGAGGTCAGGAGTTTGAGACCAGCCTGGCCTATGTAGTAAAACCCCAGTCTCTACTAAAATACTAAATTAACCGGAGGCTGAGGCAGGAGAATTGCTTGAATGCGGGAGGTGGAAGTTGCAGTGAGCTGAGATCGTGCCATTGCATCCTAGGCTGGGCGACAGGGCGAGACTCTGTCTCAAAAGAAAAGAGGGGAAAAAAATCCGCAAAACTGGGCTTTCACTTGAGACCATGTGGATATCGTTGTGATTAAACCACAAAGCAGTTTCTCTCTACAGCAGCCCACAAGGGTGAATCCCACTTCCTTTTCCTCCCAGGTGTCACCTCTAACTCGGGACTACTTCGTGTCGGGTTTTTCTACCTCTCCCGAGTTCTTTGGATCTCAGAACGGAACCACGTGAGTCCTGGCTCAGGTGAGGGGGGGAATGAAGGGAACAGGAAGTGCCTTTTGCAGGGCTATGCAGGCCGGCGGTCAGCGCCTTTGGGCACCCGCGTTCGTGGGGCCGGTCATTCAATGCAGATCTCCAGGCTACGGTTTCCTCAGCCGCACAGCACAGCAAGTACCTAACATTTTTAACTTCTGTCAAAGAGTGGGCCCTGCTTTCATGAGTTCAGCGCTCGGTGGGAGCTAGCTCCCAAATGTGAACTTCAGGGTTACGCGAGAAGCACGTGTACGCCCTACGAGGGGAGGAATTTCGGGGATTTGTCTGCTTTTTTTTCTTTTTTTCAAGTTGCTGTATGCCCAGTGCCTGAGACAGTCCCTGCCATCTCACAGGTGCTCAACAAATAGTTCTTGAGTTAATTAACTTAAAAGTGCTGTAAGAGAATTAAATTCGCTGTGCAGCGCAAAGGCACCCTACACACGGCGTGAACGCTTGGTCTCCTGGAGCGCCAGAGTCGGTGAAGCTAGGACGCCGACCGCTGGGAGCGGCAAAGACTCCGGACCGTCAGTCAGAGGAGGGAGCAGGCGCGCCCCGCCCCCCGGGGGGCGGACCTGGGACCCGGCGGCGCGGAGGCGGGGCCTGGTTCTCCGCGCCGGAGGGGCGGGGCCGGGCTCGAACACACCGGGCCGGTGGGGGCCCCGCTTGCCGGCGGGAGCCACCGGAGCCCCGGCCACGAAGGGGTGCGACCCCCGCCGGCCCCGCCCTCCCGGCTGCGGCCCGGCCAATCAGAGCAGCTCTTACTGGCGGGTGGGCTGAGCCGGCCCAGCTGCTCGGAGGCTCTGGCATGGTAACATCCCCGCGCCGGGGTGGAGGGGCCGGGGCGGTCCCACAGCGCCCCCTGCGGCCCAGGCCGGGGCCGAGGGGGCGGGGAGGCCACCGGGGGTAGCTGGGCCCCCGGGGGGGGGGGGGGGGGCCAGGGGGGGGGGAAGAGGGCCGGGGGGGGGAAGGGGGGGGGGGGACGGGGGGCGAGGGGGCGGGGGAGGCCATGATGGAGCCTGGCCGGGGGCGAAAGGGGCGAGAGTGGCGGGACGGGGTAAGGAGTGGAAAGGGGAGAAATGGGGGTGGGTTCGCGGAGAAAGATAAGGAAAGGAGAGAGAGGGCAGAGATGAGGGGGCCGCGGGACCTGGGGACAGGTGGGGACCAGTTTCCCCTCCTGGGATATTTGGCGTGCGACATGCCCCTCCCCCAGCCCCAGCGCCCATTCTCTTTGGAAGCCTGGGTGCTCTCAGACCACTTGGGGACTCCTTGCTTCACCTCCCTGCATTCGCAAGCGCTTGTCTCTTGAGGCGAACAGGGGACCTCTGAGGAAAGAGGCTCCCAGCCCTGGCTGGGCCACCAACAAACTGTAACGACTCTGTGTGACCTTGGGCAAGTCACTACCTTTCTTTGGGCCTCAGATTTCACATCGATTTTTTTAAAAAAGGAAATGCATGAAAATTAAATTCCAGATCTCTTCCAGGGTCTAAATGAAGGGGTTTTTGAGGAGGAAGTTTAGGAGAATGAGTTTGGTAGGGAAGCAAAGGAAAGAAGGATGAAGATGGAGGCGAGGCCTTGGGCTGGGGCTGGAGAAATCCCCACGAGTGTTGGGGGATGGTAGACAACCTGCCAGGCTGGGGCGGGCTAGCCGTATCCTTTTAGAGGGATGGAAGAACTCTGAGGAGGAGGTTGAGACCTAACTCCACAATGATGGAGAACAAAAGTAACATTCGCTTCTTCAGAGGGAGAGTGATGAGATGGTAGGATCAGAAAGAAGCAACAGGAAGATACTTTCTAGTAAGGCAGATCTTTGGGGAGCAAGAGGAAGAGTAGGGCTGGTCCAAGAAAGTTGAAAACTAGGATAGTCTTTGAAAGGGAGGCAGGACAGGTGCTGTTTAGGGCAGCTGAAGAAAAGGGCCGCAGGTAGATCACGGGGAAACCAGCTGGTCTCTCAGCTTTTTCTTTTTTGATGATGGCTACCCCTTTTTGAGAGATGTGCCTCCCAGCCTTCGTCATCCAACACATATCCCTTCAGGGAGTGGGAGTGAGTCAGGCCAAGCAGACCTTGGGAACACTTGGCTCTTTGAGGATTTCTGGATTGTATGAGGAGTGGGGTTAAAAAAATATATATAAAGGAAATGTATCTGAGTGTAAGGAGTATCATCTGTGGCGCCATCATCCTTGCTGGGAGGCAGCTTTGTGAACTGGTTGAAAGCACAGGCTTTGGGGTTAAACTGCTTGGATTCCAAACTTGCCTCTCCCATTTAATCTCTTGGAACCTTGGCCAACTTACTTGATCTCTGAACCTCAGTTTCTTTGTCTGTAAAGTAGGAATAATAAACTCTAAGATGGTTGCCAGGATTAAATGAGTGGCACAGTATCTGGCTCATAATAAGTGTTCAGTAAATATTAGCTATTAGCTGTTATCATTTCCTCTGTTCTTTTCCTTCTGCCTGTCCATTCTTGTTCTTTTCTCCTTTTGTTCTTCTGAGTGCTCAGTTCTGAGATGCCCCTTAAATGTACAGAGACTCAGAAGAACTGATTGCATCTTTGGTGGTGGGAAAGGGGTGGCCCCTCACTGGCCCAGGTGAACATGATGATCAGATGATGATCAAGTGTCTCTTCATCATCTCTCAGCCCACAAATGTATTTTTGTTCCAGGGAAGACACAGGATCTGTGTCTCTTTCAGCACTCATTTCTGTATCCTTCCTTCTCACTAGTTATTTCTTCATATTTCTCACCCAGAAATGAAATAAGACCCAAAGTTTTATGGCATTGCAGCAGGTAGGAGAGGGGCAGGGATACAACACGGGGAGCTCAGGGAAGGAAAGGCTTTGGAAGTTCCATAGTAGTTTACGTTTATTTCATTGTTCTGTCCTCTGTGGGGAACAGTCCAGAGCAGGCCAGTGTCTGAATCCTAGCCAGAGGTCTTCATCCCAAGTTGAAGATGACTGTATACAGTTAACTTTATTAGGTTTTCCCATGCCAACATTTTATTCCAGCTTCCTTTCTCCAAGCCACAAAGACCCCTGCCAAGCTACCTCTCTCTGTCATAGCCTATATGCAAAGAATTTATACAGATGTACATATGCATGTGTACACACTGTTTTCAAAATGCATTTTAGGATATTCCAGAATGCAAAAGTTTAATAAGGTTAGAGATGAGACTGCATTTTATCACAGCACTTTGGGAGCAGGGCCCTGATTAAACACTTGGGGGAGGTATAAAAGGAGAAAACTCAATCCCTGAATGTAGGGAAATCCCCACATGAGTGGGAGACAGGCAGTCCCACATGAAACACCCGGCGAATATTCACAGAGTAGCATGTCACTCTGCAAAGTAGTGCATCATTTATACTGAAGGGACACAGGTAGGAGTGTGTGTATGTGTGTGGGATAGTCATAAGGGTAACCTGAAGGAGGTGAATATAGATCATCTTGAACAAAGCATGAGACTGTAGAATAAAAGAAATGTGTTTCACCTGAGGGTAATCTAACAATTCTGTGCAAAGAGGAGGAGGGAAGCCTTCATTGCAAGGCTTTGACTGTTAGATGAGAGATTTTGTAGGGTAGGCAATCGGGAACCCCATAAGTTCTCAGGAAAATATTGGGTAGTTGGTGATTTAACCACTTAGGTTGCAGGGGATATGCTAGATTGCAAATAGACCTGCTTCCTGTGGTAGGAGCTTTGCTTTTAAGGGAGGAGAGCCAGAGGGCAGATTGGATCCAGTTCTGGTTTTGTCTCTAACCAGCTGTGGCCTCTTGGACAGATTATTCCCTAAAAAAGGGGGATTCATTGGGTGGCTGCCAGGGTCTCCTCCAATTCTGACATTCTGTGTTCCCTGAATAACTAACTACTAGGCCTAACTTACCAGTGGCCCCTACTGTTTTGTACGACTTGCAAAGACCATTTAGTCATTAAGTTAACAAACATTTATTAGTACCTACTTTGTACCCATAGAGGGTGGTAAGGAAAACAATGGGAACTGGATATGAGGTGAGCAAAAACAGATGAATTCCCTGCCCTTCAGTGTTTTCAGTCTAATAGGGGCCACAGATATTATATTTCATTAATTCTGAGACTCATATTGGAACATTTGTCAAGCCAGAATGCATCTTAAAATTGATGGGATATTATAATTTAATTGGCAGCATTTGTTCTTTATTCATGCCAAACAGAATAATAATATAATCAGGATTATACAAATAACAAATTCTAATGGATAATTGCTGAAGGAGAAGGTACATGGTGTTGTACAAACATAAAAGAGGGCTCTGACTAGTTCAGGGAGTTGGGAAAGGCTTTCCTGAAGAAATGATAGGTGGATGTGAAGTGTATGCAGGCAAGGTATGTAGGATTGGCAGGGCCAGCCCAGTTTTCTCAGGCAAAGGTGGAGGCCTGAGGTGGCAGAGCTCAGTGAAGATGAGTAGGGTTTGAGCCCAGATTCAGGAGCTCAGCATGGGGAGGCTGGCAAGGTAGCTGGGTAGCAGACCCTCTCATAGCCTCACTGGGCAGGGGGTTTACTGTTTATCCTAAGAGCAGGGGGAAGCCTTTGAAGAGCTTGTTATAGCTGCAGATTGGAGTGAATGTGGGGAAAACAGTTGGGAGGCCACTGCAATTAGATGAAAAAAGGTGGTGGCTTGGATGAGATGGGTGGTGGTGGGTGGTGGAAAAGGAAATGGAGAGAAATGGATAGATTCAAGAAATCTTGAGGAGGTAAAGTTAACAGGACTCGGTGATTTATTGGCAAGGAAGACGGAGTTGTGGAGAGTGACTCATAGGTTTCCATTTAGATAGCTGAATGGATGGTGTGGTGCCAGTCTCTGAGATGGGTTCCCCTGGAGCCTGGTAGGACCCAAAGATGGTTATCTGGGAGGTTAGAGAGGCCCCTGAGGCAGTTTGAGATGGGAAAGTGTGACACAGAAAATTGCATTTCTTCCTCTATTGATTAGTTTCTGACTTCCCATGCTGAGGAGAGTGTTGGGGGCAAGAACAGGTCTGAATGCAGATCTAAAGCAGTTGAACACTTAGAAAAGGTGAGTCATGTTGGAGTAGTTTAGCTCATACCCTTTTCTTCTTAGGACAAGATGGAGGACAGATTATTTTTTATTTTTATTTTTTTTGAGACAGAATCTCACTCTATCACTCAGGCTGGAGTGCAATGGTGCAATTTCAGCTCCATGCAACCTCCGCCTTCCAGGTTCAAGCGATTCTCGTGCCTCAACCTCCCCAGTAGCTGAGACTACAGGCGTGCACCACCACACCTGGCTAATTTTTGTATTTTTAGTAGAGACGAGGTTTCACCATGTTGGCCAGGTTGGTCTCAAACTCCTGACCTCAGGTGATTCACCCACCTCAACCTCCCAAAATGCTGGGATTACAGGCATGAGCCACTGCACCAGGCCAGAAACAGATATTTTAAAGGTAGACATGAGAAGGCATTTTTAAATGCTGAACATTCTCAGCAGGGGGGAAATTGGCAGCAGTGAGGTGGCTTCTCTTCAGCCAGATACCACCTTTCCCTAGAGTTCCTCCCTATCACCCCGTAACTTTCAGGCAATGAGGCAGAAGGGCTGGCCCTTTAGCTGCATCTACAAGCCTTGGTTCACTTACAGTGAGTTTGGGGTTTTTTTTTGTTTGATTTTTTGAATAGGCAATATAGTCATATGGCTGCATATTCAAAAGATACAAAAAGGCATACAGGGAAAAGTCTCCCCTGTACCTCTGTCCCTCTCTACCATTTCTTGTGTGTCATCTTTTGTCTCTGATTTTTTATACAAATGATCAAAAGACTTACAAAGAGACTTGGACCCCCACACAATAATAGCGGGAGACTTCAACATCAATATTAGATAGATCAATGAGACAGAATGTTAACATCGATATCCAGGACTTGAACTCAGATCTGGAACAAGTAGACTTAATTAACATTCATAGAACTCTCCACTTTAAATACACAAAATATACACTCTTATCAGTACTACATCACACGTATTTACAGGTTTAAATGAAATATTGGTTGGCTGCTTGTTAATTATTTTATTCCCTCATTTTTTTTTATGTCTCTATTATTAAACACAATTACAGGCATACCCAGTTTTAGACTGCATTCTAGCCCGGGCAATAAAGCAACACCCCTGTTCTCTCTCCCTCTTCCTCTTCCTCTTTCTTCCTTTCCTGTATTCTTTTTCTTTTTTTTTTTTTTAATTCTTTTTCTTCCTTTCTCTCGGAAAAAAAAAAAAAAAGACAAATGATCAAAATTTTCTCCACCTCGATTTTTTTTCCACTTGTTAATGTATCTTAGAGATCATACTGAGAAAATAAGCTTTTCCATTCTTGTTTATAACTGTATAGTATTGCATTTTGTATGTATATATAATTTCATAGCTCCTTACTGGTGAAGATTTAGGCTGATTCCAATCTTCTGTTTTTACAAATAATACTGAAATGAAAACCTTAGACATACAGCATTTTGGCCATGTGGGGCTATACCTATAAAATGAATTTTTAGAATTAGAAGGTTCTCTATAGAGATCTGTTCCTTTGTTTGTTCTTCATTCATTCGGTATTTGCCGAATACCTATTATGTGCCAGACACTGTGGTAGGTACCAGGAATCCAGCTTCCAACAAATCAGATACGATCCCTGTCTTCATGGAATTTTTTTTTTTTTTTTGAGACAGAATCTTGCTCTGTTGCCCAGGCTGGAGTTCAGTGATGTGATCGTGGCTTACTGCAATCTCTGCCTCCTGGGTTCAAGTGATTCTCCTGCCTCAGCCTCCCAAGTAGCTGGGACTACAGGCATGCGCCACCATGCCCAGCAAATTTTTGTATTTTTAGTAGAGATGGAGTTTCACCACGTTGGCCAGGCTGATCTTAAAATCCCGACCTCAGGTGATCCACCTGCCTCGGCCTCCCAAAGTGCTGGGATTATATGTGTGAGCCATCGTGCCCAGCCGATGGCATGTTATTACACTCTTGTTGGGGGAAACATATCCAGGCAAACATAATAACTGCAAAATTACATATATGAGGAAACTAAAAAGGGGATCAGATAGAGAAATAGGAAGGAACTACTTTACATAGAGTTAGGAAGTAATAAATAAGTGATACTTAAGCTGAGAACTAAAGGTTGGGGTGCAGACAGGACGGCCACCAAAAAGGGGATGAAGGTAGAGCCAGAGATGAAGTTGGCAATTGGAAGTGGAAGACATCAAAGAAAGTAGGTGGCTAAGGATGAGGTCAGTTAGGGAAGGAATCTGGTCATGAAGAGATGAGAATTAGGGAGACAAGCATTTTAAAGGACTAGCAACTATTTGTGTTGAGAGAGCTTTGGATTGAATCTCTGTAACTGGGGTAATTAAGGTAGGGGAACCAGAAAAGAGGCAACACCCTCCCTGGATACTTTGGGAATAAAAGAGACCTCTAACTTAATTTGAAAGAGGCATATCCTTGCCCACAGGCAGAATGGATTAGAAGGCTTGGATAGAGCCATACTGTGCCTGTAGTGAAGTCTCTTCCATGTTTTTTGTTGCTTTGGCAAAATGGAAACTTTCAAAATAAAGATGACATTAAAGGGGCTCAGCCATCTGGGTCTGAGCTGGCATAAGAGAGAGCAAACCTACTAAGGGCTCAGAGCTTGGGGTGGGCTGGAAATCGGGCTTGAAGACCCTCCGTCTGAACTTTGTGCTCCTTTTTCATCCTCATCACTTCTGCTTCCCTCCTGCAAAAAGCCCACCTCTGCCCATCCTGGGTCCTATGACTTTTCTCTCCCTCAACAGTCGGTTCCCGATTCTGGTCCCCGGCCCCCAGCAGCGCCTGCCCCCTTCCCACCGGGGCCCCCCATGATGCCACCACCCTTCGTAAGTTTTATGTCTTTCCCTGGGCTTGGCTTTTCCAGCCTGCACCCCCGACTCCCCAGCCCCTAGCCACTGCTGCATCACCAGCACAGTTTTTATGTAATGCCCCTTTTGCTGCCCTTGGAAGAGGGATGGTTTTACTTGGGCATTGGGGTGGGGAGAGCTGTTGTGAAGCTCTCAGTACATAACATTGACAATTCCCCCTTTGTCTTTTTGACCTTAGGACACACTGGGGCTGGAGGTAGGAGAAGTGGAAGGGAAAGGACCCCATTAATGTGAGGGCAGGGTGGGACTCTCTGTCTCTTTCACTACTCCTTACCTATGCTCTTTAAATATGCCACAGAATTCAGGCTGGAATGGTATTGGTGCTTATGAGTTGGAAACAAAGGGATGGGAGGCAGGGGGCTGGGGTATTTGGGTACCTGGATACATGCCTTCTGCCCCTTCATCTGAGAGGCCTCTTTTGGGGAGAATTGCTGAAGAGATGGAGCCTTCCAGTCTCAGTCTGGTGCTGTTAAACTTCCCTTCTCCCTTTTCTTTCCCATTATAATTAAGAAGCTGTTGGGCCGGGCGTGGTGGCTCACGCCTGTAATCCCAGCACTTTGGGAGGCTGAGGCGGGCGGATCACGAGGTCAAGAGATCTAGACCATCCTGGCCAATATGGTGAAACCCTGTCTCTACTAAAAATACAAAAATTAGCCGGGTGTGCTGGCACTCACCTGTAGTCCCAGCTACTCAGGAGGCTGAGGTGGAAGGATCACTTGAACCCGGGAGGTGGAGGTTACAGTGGTGAGCTGAGACTGGGTCACTGCGCTCCAGCCTGGTGACAGAGCAAGACTCCGTCTCAAAAAAAAAAAAAAAAAGATGTGTGTTCGCCTGTTAGACCCCAGTTATCAGTTTTTCTCAGTGGTGAAGAGGGAGGCAGTTTCAGGCCTTGTGCTTTTCAAACTAAAGCCTTGGAATTGCCTCAGAGCCAGGGTGGAGGGTCCAGGAGGGAGGCTGTGGAAGGCGGTGGATATTTTCTGACAGGTCCTCTCTGCCTCTGACAAGGCAATGTCTTCCCTGCTCAGTATCTTTTCCTTTCCTCATTTCCAGATGCCCCCTCCAGGGATCCCCCCACCCTTTCCTCCAATGGGGCTACCCCCCTTGAGTCAGAGACCACCAGCCATCCCCCCCATGCCACCTGGCATCCTGCCCCCAATGCTTCCACCAATGGGGGCGCCACCACCACTCACACAGGTAATCTCTCCTCCCCTGGGGTCTCAGAAAACCCTGTCAGTTTAGCTGGGGGTGGAGATAAGAGTCAGCACCTGGGCCTCAGAAACTGGGGAAGGAAAGGAGCTTTGGGCCAGACTCATGTGGATTTGTCTGCTGAGGCAACTCTCAGGCAAAGTGAGAGGCCAGAATCGGGATTGCCTGAGGAAGTGCCCAAGTGAGGGTCATAGCTCCAATGAGGTCTCTTAGGACCCTTTGAGGTACCCTGTCCCTTCTGTGCCAGCCCCCTTACCTTGGTGGTTGGCTTCTGTCTTCTTTGTATCCATAGATACCAGGAATGGTTCCTCCGATGATGCCAGGAATGCTGATGCCAGCGGTGCCCGTCACCGCAGCGGTAAGCACTAGGGACCAGCAGGTAGCAGGCTCTGCTCTGCAGTCCCGTGAGTCTGACTTGAAATACAGGGATATGACCTCCATTCTTTCCCTCTTCTCATCGCATCCACCCAGGTCCCCAGCAGCACTCCTCACACTCGAATCCTCCTTGCCAGCTGGGCGTGGTGGCTCGCGCCTGTAATCCAAGCACTTTGGAGGCCAAGGTGGGCAAATCACCTGAGGTCAGGAGTTCAAGACCAGCCTGACCAACATTGTGAAACCCCGTCTTAAAAAAAAAAAAAAAAAAAAAAAAGGAAAAAGAAAAAGAATCCTCCTTGCCAGCCATATACTTAGCTCTTCCAGTTTCCCACTTATCACAAAGGCATATTCTTTCTTTCTTTCTTTCTTTCCTTTCTTTCCTTTCTTTCTTTCTTTCTTTCTTTCTTTCTTTATCTTTTTTTTTAGAGACAGGGTTTCACCATGTTGGCCAGACTGCTCTCGAACTTCTGACCTCAGGTGATCTGCCCACCTCAGCCTCCCAAAGTGCTGGGATTACAGGCGTGAGCCATCGCGCTGAGCCCCAAAGGCATATACATTCTCTTGTTACTCTCATGCCATGTCCAGTTCCCTTAAGGAGCACTCTTATCCTCACAGAGCCACACACTGCGGACACATGAATACAGTTCTTCACATCCTCTTTGTTCCCAGAAGAGTCAGTAGCACCTGGGGATCTTGCTGTGCCTTGTTATGCTTTTGCTCAGTGTAGCAGAGTCTGGGTAGGATATAGAATTTGGCATCTACTGTGAAGGAATGAACCAAATACTCTTACTTGAGGAGAATGAAGAATGGAGCTGCTATGTGATTCTCCCCTGGGATCCTAGAGCCATGGCCCTGAAGGGTGGGGGAAGCCTGTTAGGGAGCAGAGATCTCTAGCAGCAGGACACATGGATTCTGGCCTGGCCTGCTTCTCTATCCCCCACGGCCTGGGTCCTGGGGGCCACTGGGCTTGGCCCCAACCCTTCCCCCTCCTCTTTCTTCGGCAGACGGCTCCGGGTGCGGACACCGCCAGCTGTGAGTCTTCTGGGGGCCTGCTCCCCCCAGGCTCGGAGGTTGGGGGGCATAGGGGAGAGGGGACCGTGGACTGGAGCCACCCTGGATCATGCCTGTTGGGATGCCAGGGAGCCTGGGATTTTGATGGGACCAGGGGAATATTTACTGGGGATGGAATAAGGGAGGAATAAGGGGATAAGATGGAGGTTAGGGCAAGGACTTAGTATGTATCCTGTGGCTTTTTTTTTTTCTAGCTGCTGTGGCTGGGACAGGCCCTCCGGTGAGTTCTTCTAGCTCAGGGGCCTCTGGGAGAAAGCCTGAGAGTGGGGGACTGATGGTTAAATCTTTGGGGTGAGGAGAGGCTTTGGAAAAGGGGCCTTGACCACCATTCTGTGCCCCCTCCCCTGCCAGAGGGCCCTATGGAGTGAGCATGTGGCCCCAGATGGGCGCATCTACTACTACAATGCTGACGACAAGCAGTCCGTGTGGGAGAAGCCCAGCGTGCTCAAGTCCAAGGCAGAGGTCCTGAGCTGGGCTTTCTGGCCCTTCCTTTCAGCTGCCCTGACCCTTCCAAGTCCTTGGCCTTCCTTTAGTCTCTAACCATACTCATGATGGCTCCTCTGATCCCAAGGTCCCTGACCACTCCCCACCCTCCCTGGAAATATCTCCATAGGATCTCAAGAAGTCCACCTTTCCCAGTTTGAGCCAGGCCAGGTGGTAACTAAAGGCTCCTGTGTCCTCAACTCACTGGGTTCCCTTAGCTCCCCTGACTGGCTGGAGAGCATGCCCAGCCCACTGATGGCTCCTAACCCATCCTCTTGCAGCTGCTCCTGTCCCAATGTCCCTGGAAAGAGTACAAGTCAGACACAGGAAAACCTTACTACTATAACAACCAGAGTAAAGAGTCTCGCTGGACCCGGCCCAAGGATCTGGATGACCTAGAGGGTGAGACGTCCTAGGGGTGGGCCGAGTCAGGAGTTCTGGGGGTTCCCTATTGCCCCTGTGACTTTGTTATCTTTTCCCTTTGCAGTTCTAGTCAAGCAAGAGGCTGCAGGGTGAGTGACTTGCCCACCTATCCATTTATACTTGGGGCCCCTGGGGTGTGGGAGTAGACTCTCTTGCCATGATCTCTACAGTGTGGGAGGAAGAGCCAGCTCTGTCTCCTTGTGGAGTCATCTCCTCTGGTCCCAGTGCTTCCCGGGACAGAGACCAGCCAGCACCTGAACTCCTCCATTCCTGCTCTCGTCCTGGACACTGCCCTTCTGGCTCATCTGCAGGAAACAGCAGCAGCAGCTGCCACAGACACTTCAACCGCAGCCGCCTCAGCCACAGCCTGACCCCCCACCTGTACCTCCTGGCCCCACCCCAGTGCCCACAGGCCTCCTGGAACCTGAGCCAGGTGGGAGTGAAGATTGTGATGTGTCGGAGGCTACCCAGACCCTGGAGCAGGGGTTCCTGCAGCAGCTGGAGGAGGGCCCCAGTAGGTGAGGACTGCCCCCCATGGCATTCCCAATGTTAGCCTCAGGCTTCTAGCCTGATTCAACCCTTGTCCTCTGCTGGGCCTCTCAGGAAGGGTTTGAAGATCTGAATGTGACCTCTGAAAGGCAGAAAAAGGCTGCCCTGGGGAACAAGGAGGGATACATTGCCAAGAGTTCAGTCCACTGAAAGCTATGAGGGCTGGGGGACCCTGTGGCTGAGTCCCCTGTACCCTCCAGTTCTGCTGGACAGCATCAGCCACCACAGCAGGAGGAGGAGGAATCAAAGCCAGAACCAGAAAGGTCTGGCCTGAGTTGGAGCAACCGGGAGAAGGCAAAGCAGGCATTCAAGGAACTGCTGAGGGACAAGGTGCTGGAGTGGGGCTCCCAGGGAAGGTTTGGAGGGGGCTGGAGTGGGGCAGGCCCCATGACTCCCACCTGCTTCATTTTAGGCTGTCCCTTCCAATGCCTCATGGGAACAGGCCATGAAGATGGTGGTCACTGACCCCCGTTACAGGTATGCCTGGGCAGAGGGAGCTAGGCCCTGTTCCTGAGAGCCGCTATGCTAGGGACTCCCTAAGAAACCCCAGCTCAGTGTTCAGTTCTAAGGGAACCAGAGTCATGACAGTGATAGATTGGGTTGGGTGGGGTACAAGGGGAAGAAAAGCTGGAGGGCTTCCAGGAGAAGGAAGGGAAAGGTATCTTTCATGACACATTCAATAAATGCTTGTTGAATTGAGTCAAACTGAATTGAATTAACTGAGGAATGAGGGTGCTGGATAGGGAAGAAGTCTGACAGTGACTTGAGAACCCCAAAGTAAATGGGCCCAGCATTAGCAGTGCCTTGGAGCTGCATCTCTTCCCCTCACTTCCTGTCACTCCTACTTTTCCGGGAATGGTGTTCAGATCCCAGACATCTGTACCCTTGGAACCCCTGCAGCCTGCAATGTCCCATGACCCTCCTTTGTGGGCTGTGCAAGATTGTTCAGGCTGGACTTCTGTATCCCTACCCCACTCCTACCCTCTATCTCAGTGCCTTGCCCAAACTCAGTGAGAAAAAGCAGGCATTCAATGCCTACAAGGCGCAGCGGGAGAAGGAGGAGAAGGAGGAGGCCCGGCTAAGGGCCAAGGAGGCCAAGCAGACCCTGCAGCATTTCCTGGAGCAGCATGAACGCATGACCTCCACCACCCGCTACCGGTCAGAGGGCCAGGCTGGGCTGGGGCTTGGGAACCCTGAGAACACAAAGGTCCAGGGTCTCTGTGTTTTGTCTACCTACTCACAGCCGATATGCTCCACAGGCGGGCAGAACAGACCTTTGGGGAGCTGGAGGTCTGGGCTGTGGTCCCTGAGAGGGATCGAAAAGAGGTTTATGATGATGTCCTCTTCTTCCTGGCGAAGAAGGAGAAGGTAATGTTTGCTGGACAGGATCCTTCAGCCTATCTCATCCTAGACTTTACCTGTTTTTGTTTTGTTACGGACCCTAGCCATTTATTTCTCCACTTCCCCAGTGTCCCAGCTTCTTATTTCGAAGCTGGTATGGCACTTGCACATCCCATTTCTGCTCTGGGCCTATAGTCCTGGGTGTGGCAGGGAGGAGTCGTCTGAGAGAGATGGTCTATAACCTGTACTCCCTCCCCTTCCCTGAGACATGAAAGTCTTGAGTATGGCCTTCTTCCTAGGGTTCCCTAGCTACCTTTCCCCAGGTCCTCCTCTGCCCAGGCCTACTTGCGTAGCTCTGGCCTGCCCTACCTCACCCTGATCCTTTGGCTCCCCAGGAACAGGCCAAGCAGCTCCGGCGTCGCAACATCCAGGCCCTAAAGAGCATCCTGGATGGGATGAGTAGTGTCAACTTCCAAACCACGTGGTCCCAAGCCCAGCAGTACCTCATGGATAATCCCAGCTTTGCACAGGACCATCAGCTGCAGAGTAAGCCTGGGCCTCCAATCCTACCTGTCCCTTTCTTTACTGGACCTGGGACCCCCAGAGTATGCCTCACACCACTCCCCTGTACCTCCTGCCCTCCTGGATACCCTAGGAGTACCCAACACTCACTCAGTTCTTGTACCTCTCTAGACTCCGGGGATCCCAGAATGCTTTAGGCCACTCCTCCCTCTGAGGTCCACTGTTGGCCTAGACATTGTGTATCCTTGGAGGAAGAGCTCTGGGATAGAAATCATAAGTCCTAGAGATGTCAATGATTATGATTTTAACTCATGTGAATATGTTTTTTTTTTTGAGACTGAGTCCAGTGGCATGGTCTCGGCTCACTGCAACCTCCGCCTTTTGGGCTCAAGCAATTCTCTGCCTAAGCCTCCCGATTAGCTAGGACTACAGGCGCCTGCCATCACGCCTGGCTAATTTTTTTGTATTTTTAGTAGAGACGGGGTTTCATCACCTTGGCCAGGCTTGTCTTGAACTCCTGACCTCGTGATCTACCTACCTCGGCCTCCCAAAGCGCTGGGATTACAGGCGTGAGCCATCACACCTGGTGAATATGGTCTTATAGCACTACAGGCCTTAACTGGACACATGTTACAATAGACTGTTGTTGGCCTGTAATCACCAATGATACTAAAATTCACTTTCTGAAATAGCATCAAAGCCTGATTGATTCCAGTTCCATAAGATGTGAAACCTCAGATCCTAAGACAACTGGTTTCATGTTATGTCTTCTAATAACTGAATTCACAAGAGCTGAATACTTGCTCATTGATTCTTATACAATTAATGATTGCCCCCCTAAAAACCACCATTCCAGTGGCTTTTCCCACAGAGCCCTCTCCCGGCCCTTCCCCCACCACCCTGGGTATCCCTAGCACCTGTAGGACAGCATTGTTGAGACATTAGGGGTGCTGGGGTCTGAGAGTGTGTCCTGCTGGTACAGTGCCCATTGAACTTCCTGCCTGTCTTTAGACATGGACAAGGAAGATGCACTGATCTGTTTTGAGGAGCACATCCGAGCTTTGGAGAGGGAAGAGGAGGAAGAACGGGAGCGGGCCCGGCTTCGGGAGCGACGCCAGCAACGCAAGAATCGGGAGGCCTTCCAGGTATCTTTGTTGTCCTTTCTAGATCAGAGCTGGGCTCTGCCCTAGACCAAACCTCTTCACCTATTCCCTGCCCCCTTCAGGTTAGGCTGCCTGTTCTTTCTGTGCCTAGCCCTGTCCAAGCTCCATGAGACCTCACTCTGCCTGCAGTCTGCTTCTGTACTGTACCCCTCAATTCTGGACTGTGCCCTTCTTGGGAGACTAGATGTATGCACCACCCAGAAACTGCCAGCAGAGAGCACCCTACAGGCACGGCTTGGCAGCTAAGCCATGTTAATTTCCCTTGGGTGGGGTGCCTGACAGGCAGAGTTTATTCCCCCAGCTTGTGGGTGGCAGTGGTAGGAGTTACTATAGGCAGGTTTCTGTTTCTTTGCCTCTCAGGCTGGCTTGTTCATATTTTTTTGTTCTGTCCCTCTCTGTGTATTTACATTCTCTCCTTTTGCATTGTTCTTAGGCTTCCATTTGCATCTCTTCATCTCTGCCTCTCTTGCCTATATTTCTTCAATCTGGATTGTCCCTGCCTCTCCCTCTGCTATTCCCTCTATTCCCTCTGATTCTGTGTTTCTGCCTCCCTCCTTGTCTCACGCTCCCTATAACCGGCCTCTCCCTGTTCAGACCTTCCTGGACGAGCTGCATGAGACAGGGCAGCTACACTCTATGTCTACCTGGATGGAGCTGTATCCAGCAGTCAGCACTGATGTCCGTTTTGCCAACATGCTGGGCCAGCCGGGTAAGGCAGCCAGGCTCCCCCTTCTCTGACCTGGCTTCCTGTCCTGCCAGACTCTCTGCACCCCCTACTCCCTGATCCTGTCCTCGGCGCAGCCCCCAGGCCTTGGGAAGCTGCCGCCCGCCAGGCCCCCCTCCCTCCCTCCTTACAGGCTCCACCCCTCTGGACTTGTTCAAGTTCTATGTGGAGGAGTTGAAGGCACGATTCCATGATGAAAAGAAGATCATTAAGGACATCCTTAAGGTGAGGGAGACTGGGGTTATGGATGGATACAGGATAGGTGCAGGGCACACTCCCTGCAGAGGACTCCCTGATAAGTCCCGTTTTGCAGGAGCATTGCAGTTTGCTTCAGCAGATATCTACTGTGATCCTTTACTGTGCACTAGGGATACAGTAATGAATACACAATTTTTTTTTTTTTTTTTTTTTTTTTTGAGACGGAGTCGCACTCTGTCACCAGGCTGGAGGGCAATGGTGTGATCTCGGCTCACTGCAACCCCCCTCTCCCAGGTTCAAGCGATTCTTCTGTCTCAGCCTCCCAAGTAGCTGGGACTACAGGCGTATGCCACCACACCTGGCTAATTTTTGTATTTTTAGTAGAGACGGGGTTTCACCATGTTGGCCAGGATGGTCTTGATCTCTTGACCTCATGATCTGCCTGCCTCGACCTTCTAAGGTGCTGAGATTACAGGCCTGAGCCACCACGCCTGGCCTAGACATGGTCTAATAGGAAGATATACATGAGAACTGTTACACAGAGGGGCAAGTGTTATTACAGAGACAGGAATCTGAAGAACTGACATTTGAACTGCACCTTTAGGAATAAGTAGGTGGAAGAGGTTGGAGTATACACAGGGTACTACGGGAGTGAAGGCAAATGGGTGGAAAGGGCATGCCAGGTCTGAGGAGGAAGAAGCATAGCTAATTATAAACTGGTAGCACACAGATTGTTCTTTGTGGCCTATACAGTGTTTTTTTTAAAAACTGGAATTTGTTGCTAACATTTTAAAATCAGAAAACTTCACGTAAAAAATCTGAATCTTTAGCTTCTCTTGTCAATATGGATTATCCAGCAGCACTGAGCTGGATTTGCAAGGCATTCTGCAGACTCAAACTGAGACGCCACTTTAGAAAGGGCAAGAAATCCATCTTATCATTCCTTAGTGCCTTCTTGATACTGTCACAAGTGTCAGGTGACATTTACCATCACACATGCCCTATTGCTTTTCTTCTACTGGAGAAGAAATAGTTCTCAATATTTACATCTATCAAAAGTGGAAAAGTGAGTGATGGACTAAGAGAGCCTTGTGTTCCAAAAGAAAAAAATAAAGAGAAAGCATATTTCTTTATGGAAGTGAAGATTCTGATGCATTTGAGGAGATAATACAATACAGTGGTTAGGAGCAGGACTGAAGGCAGACTGCTTAAGTAAAAGTCTAGTTTAAACGCTTGCTAGTTGTGTGACCTTGGACAGGTCACTTGACCTTTCTGAGCTTGTTTCCTCATCTAAAAAATGGTGCGTGTTCCACCAAAGTACACCTAATTACAGAGCTTAAACGGTACCTGGATTGAAAGGGATCTGGAAATAAAGCTAGAAATGTCTCACTGCACATATATTTCTTTGAAGTCCTGTTTTGCCTTACAGATTCACATAGGTGTTGCATTTTAACACCATAGTACCTCTCTGTTTAATATAAATTTAATATTTTAAATTACCTACCATTAGGTAAGATGTATCATACTATCGTGAGGTGTAGCCGCTCTTTCTCTGGAACCATATGCCCCAGCTTGGAAGTAGAGCCCTGCATGTAAAGTGCCTTGAATGCTAAAATAAGAAATTTGGATTTTTCTCTCGTAAGTAATGAGGAACTGGGGAATGATCAGATGTGATGGTGTCTTGGAAAAGCCAGTGGTGATGGTATATAGTAGCACCTTTCAGTCTAGAGTACATACTTATGTCCTTAGGGAAGGCGGTGGTGGTAGGTAGAGGAGTTCTTGAAGCCGTAAGATACTAAAACTGATAGTGGCGAGAAATTCAAATAGTCCTATTTTTCTGACTCATCCCTAGACCTCTCCTACTGTTGGGGCTACTTGGTACAAAAGTCCAAGAAGCACTAGATGCTAGAAGCTGGGTTAGAGGGATGGAAGAGGTGAGCAGGGAGACCAGTCGGTAGACTGTGCAGGAATCTCAGAAGAAAGTGATCCTAGCCAGGGGCGGTGGGGGCAGCAGCAGAAGGCAAGCTGTAGCACTCCAGCTGTGCTTCTGAGACTCTGGGTTTCTGTGTATGTGCCTTGAGACAAGCAAGGGTGGGGGGCTGAGTGGGGGGATTTTGTGCTGCTTCCTGTTTTCAAGTGAAGCATCTTGAATCTTTCTTACACATAGAGGTTCTACATAAAGTTTCTATTTTAATAAACTGTTTCTGGTGTTTAAAAAAAAAGTGGGGAGAGTTTAAAACCAGTGGGATAGAGTCACTAAGTAGAATCAACAGATTACTCTGTGAAATTGAGGGAAAGGAAGGAATCAGAGGTGTTAGGGCAGTGGATGATGGCACCATTGGTAAGGATAAAGTGAAGAGCAGGGCTGTAGTAAATAGGAATTCCATCTGGAGAATTACTCTTAAATAAAGCAAATATATTTTAAAACAGGATAATTGTATAAAATAGAAATGCCTTATCCTGGGATAGCTAAATTTTATTGGATAATTAACTTTTAGCCATAGAGTGGCTGGTACTGTTGATAGGCCTATAGGGGCCTATCCTTACCGAGTCCTGTCTCACCATACAACCTGAGAAAGCAGCTTTTTAAAGACAGTTCCCTTCCTCTTTGCTCATTTGGATTCCTTCCTATGGCGGGCAGATGAGCCCAGGAGTTCCCTCTTGCCTTCCACAGCCAAGCAGACCATGATGGTGCCTCTCATGCCATAGGGTAATACAGAGAGCCCTGGACACAGATCTGGGTCAGGGAGATCCATGGAGGGTGCTCACGAGAAATATATTATCTTGAGATCTGTTGAATTTGAAGTGTCTGAAACATCCAGTCTAGGATGAGTTTGAAAATCAGGAGATGAAGGATGAGATTGTTACGGAGTACATATTGGGTAGGGAAAGAGGACTAAGTGCTGTTCTCAGGAAGATAAATATACAAGAGAAGTAATAAAAGAGGTTAGGAGAGGAGGTGACCTGGAGAGGGGAGTGTTGAAGTAAATGGTAGAGGCACTGAGGACCAGATGAGTGAGGACCAAGAAGGCCTTGGATTTGGCTAGTAGACATGAGCAACTTTTGGGAGAGTAGTGTCATGAATGAGGTGGCATGACGGGGCAGCACACATTTTCGAGTCAGAGAACTGGTTGCTTACTGGCTCTGATACCTCCATTAGTTCCATGTGTCTGAGCCTGTTGGCTCACCTGTAAATCAGGGATAATTCATAGGTAAGTTTGTGAGAATTAAATGTCTGTAAAGTGTCTAATAGATTCTCAATAAATGTTTACTCCTTTTCCTTTCTGCTGCAATTCAAGAGGTTTTGAAACAAAGGAAAGAGGAGAGGTAGTTAATGAAGGGGAGAGCAGGGTGGACAGGCTGTTCCAGGTTAGGTGAAGCGTCTGCTTGATGGAATGAGCCAGTGACGAGGGTGACATGGAGCTTTCAGTTCCCTGAGAATGAATGCTGTGTTGATAAGGACTGGAGCAGGCTGGAGGAAGTACCCTTGCAAAGCAAGAGGAGCGCACCTTTGCCATTAGCAAGAAGGCTAGAGGTGAGAGCTGTGTGGTGAGAGAGAAAGGGAATCTGGCCTGTGCTTAACTGACATGAGAGCCAGATTTTGAACTCTAGTGGCTTCATTTACCACTCACGTCATCTTGGGCCAACTGAGATCACTTTTCTAAGCCTCTGCTTCACTGGGATGTTGTAAGGCTTAAATGAGCAGCACAGAGCCTGGCCCATGGAGATGTTTTTAGTACTGATGGGGAGCTGCACACCTGGTGGCCCCTATTTCTCTCATGGACTAAGTAATCTGGTTGGGTATGGTGCTTGAAAGCATAGGCTTTGGGGATAGAGACACCCAGGGTACAGTTCTTGCCCAGCCATCTATCAGCTGTGAGACCTTGGGCAAGTGCCCTAGTTGCTCTAAACCTTGGTTTCTCCTTCTGTGTAAAATTAGGATACTAGGAGCCATTAAATGTAGAACCAGGAGGATTAAATGAGATAATTTGTGTGAAACACTCATCGTGGTACCTGGTACACAGTTAGCACTCCATAGAGGTAAAGGGTAGGGGACTGCAAATGTTGACTGAGAATGCATGGAAGCACTGCTGAGCAGGAGGGCCCAGCTGGGGCTAGAGGTTTAAGCCAAAGGAACAAAGAACTAATTATGAGAATCTCCTGCATCCGTCAGCAGTTGGGAGACATCGAGCCCCTTCAGCTCCATGTGACATCCAAACCATGGGTAGGTATGGAGGCTTGTCAGGTGATGAGGACTTGGACAGCTTGGTTTCTGATGCATATCACAGTCCTGCAGGTATCTTCTGGGGGGAAGGGCCTTCTTGACCATCTTGTAGTGTGACCACTCTGCCTGCCAGCTTTGGCCTCAGGCACATGGTGCCCCTGCTTCATGCATTACTGTGCCCACAGGACCGGGGCTTCTGCGTGGAGGTGAACACGGCCTTTGAGGACTTCGCCCACGTCATAAGCTTTGACAAGAGGGCTGCCGCGCTGGACGCAGGCAACATCAAGCTGACCTTCAATAGTGTGAGGGGCTGGGCAGGGCATGGGTCTCAGTTCTCTATCCCAGTGTCTTGTTCCATTCCTTCTCACTGACTGTATTCCCAATTCAGGGGATGGTGGTAGAAGCCCAGACCCCAGCTTTCCACCTCCTCTAAGGTATGCCTGAGTGGGACCCAGCATCCACCCTCCTGGGTGACCCTGTTCCATGTGTCCCTTCTATCTTCAGCTGCTGGAGAAAGCAGAGGCGCGGGAGAGGGAGCGGGAGAAGGAGGAGGCACGCAGGATGCGGCGCAGGGAAGCTGCCTTTCGAAGCATGCTGAGGCAGGCTGTGCCTGCTCTGGAGCTAGGCACTGCCTGGGAAGAGGTCAGGAGCATAGCCTGGCCCCAAACACCCTCAAGCCTGAGGGCAGCGATGCTTCACCACTGAGGGCCCACCCCAGTCACGTCACAGCCCTGGGCCAGCTCCAGTTCCCTTCCTTTCTCTGCCCCAGCCCTGCCCTGTGCTCATGGCGGTGTCCAGGCCAGGCTGAGTAGGGCCTAATCTGATCAGCAGTGCTCTCCTCGTTCAAGGTCCGTGAGCGTTTTGTGTGTGACTCAGCCTTTGAGCAGATCACCCTGGAGTCGGAGAGGATCCGGCTCTTCCGGGAATTCCTACAGGTGCTGGAGGTGAGGCAGGCTGCTTGTTCTCTAGATCTGTCCCAGACCCTTGGAACTCCCTAGACCAGTTCAACAGAGACCTCAGTGGCCTCCCTCTTACCCCTAGGGCACTCCTGGCCAAGCTAAGGAAGGGGAGGCCTGAAGGATCCCTGGGATAGGCAGAAGGCTCTAGCCTAAGGGAGGCAAAGCCAGATTTTAGGAGGTAGGGTCCTTCCTGGGACTAAGTTTGATGTCCTCACCGTTCTTCCTCTGCCTCTAGCAGACTGAATGCCAGCACCTCCACACCAAAGGCCGAAAGCATGGCAGGAAAGGCAAGAAGCACCATCACAAGCGTTCCCACTCACCCTCGGTGAGTTAGCGGGTAGAAGGGACGTGGGGTGAAGCTGGGTTGTTTCGGGGAAATCAACACTTCTTGTTTTCCCCCTATATTATCTCCCTTGGAGGGAAATTTGAGGATTCCTTTGGTCCTGGACCCTGCTGTCTCCCCAATTCCTAGCTGGCTTTTGGAGGGCAGAGAACCTCTGCACTGACATGTATCTGCTGATCTGCCCAGGGCTCTGAGTCGGAAGAAGAGGAGCTGCCCCCACCATCTCTCCGGCCCCCCAAGCGGAGAAGGCGGAACCCCTCAGAGTCAGGCTCTGAGCCCTCTTCCTCACTTGATTCAGTTGAAAGTGGGGGTGCTGCCCTTGGAGGACGCAGCTCCCCTTCCTCCCACCTTCTTGGAGCAGGTAAGCAGTTGCTATGAGCCTAGAAGCTGGAGAACTGTTGTCCCTAACTGAGGATGTCCTGCCCCTGCAAGCCCCCCCGCCCCCCAACTGGAGCAAGCTCCAGCTCCTTTGAGGGTAGAGTGGATTGGGAGAGCTGCACCTGTGGGAGTAGAAAGAACTTCCTCTACCTGCCCAGGCAAGAACCTGAAGAAGGAAAACTGGACCGACTTAGACTTCCTCAGAGCATGAGGTCCCCGCCTGTGAAGAATGAGCAGAGGGGCTAGAACAGAGAAAAAGAGCCTTCCTTTGTCCTGTTGGGACTTAGTAGGGATTTTTTTTATCTCCAGATCATGGCCTTCGGAAAGCCAAGAAACCAAAAAAGAAAACTAAGAAGAGAAGGCACAAGTCGGTGAGTGAAGGAACTTCTACTTAAGCCCCTGCTATTTTGTGAGCTCTGTTCTACTGCCTCCTGGGCTATCCACAGGAACTGAGGGTGGGAGGCTCTGGACTCTTACAGAATAGTCCTGAGAGTGAGACAGACCCCGAGGAGAAAGCTGGCAAGGAGAGCGATGAGAAAGAACAAGAACAGGACAAGGACAGGGAGCTGCGTCAGGCAGAGCTCCCTAACCGTTCCCCAGGCTTTGGAATCAAGAAGGAGAAGGTGAGGGGCACGGACCCCAGGCCAGTAAGCATGCTGGCCGAGCTCCCAAGGCTCTCAGTAGAGGCTAAGGGTGAGTGGTGCCTTTGCTCCAACAGACAGGCTGGGACACGTCGGAAAGTGAGCTGAGTGAGGGTGAGCTGGAGAGGCGGCGGCGGACACTCCTACAGCAGCTGGATGATCACCAGTGACCCGATGAGCTGCTCTCTGCCTCGGGTCTGTGTGAGGCTGTGGCTCCTGGGCCACCCTCACCATCTGCCTCAGACTTCTTCCTTAGTCTGGTCTGTGTCCACTTTTTCTAAAGTAACCCCACCCCCAGCACACCATCGTTGGCACCTCTCAAGGATGCTTTTGGTGTTGAAGGGTCTCCTACTCCCCGGACTAGTGCAGTCCTTGCCCTCAGCCCCAGACCAGAGATGGGTGGTATATGCCATGTGGGGTGGGTGATGCCAGTAGATAAAGTGTGAGAGAAGGGGTCTCCAGGGAAGAGTGACAGGCTGGTGGACACAGCCTGGGTAGCAGAGGGCAGGGTCTTCACCCTCTAGCATCTGTGCCTGCTCCTGCCTGCCCTGAGGCTCCACCACTTCTTCCTCCACCCAGGACCTAATGTATGTGTGTTTTGTTTTTGTTTTTTAAATAACAATATTTATAACATGGCCAGTAACTCTTCTCCATGTGCTGCTGGGGCAGGCTGGGGACTGGTCACATGCCCAGCAGAGGGCACTAGTGTCTCATGGCAGGCCTGCTTCCCTTTGTGTGGCTAGAGCCCACCAGGCTGGTTCTCCTTTCCCCAGATTTCTGACCTCATCATCTCCTCTGAAATAGATGTAGTGCCCCAAAGATTTCTTCTTTTCTCTCCCCATGGCCCAGGTCAGGCTAAATGGCCACCCTAGCCCTGTAAGCTAAGAAAGAGGAGACAGAGTCAGGCCTGGTGCTTCAAGCCTTTGTTGAGGGAGGGAAAGTCTGGGGTTTATGTACAAGAGGAAAGGGAGGTGGAACATGTACAAAATAAGTGGGCCCCCACATTCCCTTCTAGGGGCAGAGGAGAAACAGGAAGCAGAGCAAACAGTCAGCTAAGACCACCATGCTCCCCGTCCCCTGCCAAAAAAAAAAAAAACCCAAAACGTAGCTGAAGAAAAGGTAAAAGGGGTTGGCACACCCCTTCTCCAGCCATCTGCAGAAAGGGATTGGTGCAAAGAAAACCTCTATTCTTCTGCCCACCTTGACAAGGAAAAGTGTGAGCCTAGAATGAAATGGGCAGAAAAAACAGGGCAGTGAGCCTGACATCTCTCCTCTTACTCTTATCACTAGGGCACAGCCGGCAGAGGGCCTTGCTCCTGGTAAGAGATGAACTGAGACTGACAGAGTCCCAGGGCTCTGTAAGCCTAGGTACATCTAGACCAGAGCCGCCCATGGGCCTGCGAAAAAGAAAGGAAAAAAAAGACAGTTTCTCTTTCCTGTCAGCACTCTGGGCTCTAGTGGGAGAGATCTACGTGCCCTGTATAGGCTAAAGCTGGAAATGGTTTTTCTCAGTCCTGGGCTGACCCTTGGTGACCCTTCAGGAAATGAAGTCAAAGATCTTGGGAGCAAAGTGCAGTACTGGAGGCACCAGAGACCTACAGACCTAGTGCCCATAGTGGCACAAGGAGAAAGATCCAGCCTTGGGAGCTGGGGCAGACAGGGTTGAGAGCAGCATAGTCCTCTCCTGGGCCCTTGGCCAATTCCAGGTCCACTGGTTGGACTTGTAGGACTCTGAACGCTGAAGTGCTTCTGCCTCTAAGAGGGTCTCAGTGGGGGCCTGGAGCCCGAGGGGGGCCACTGGGCAGCGCAGCGCTCCTGGCTTGGTGGCGAACAACAATAGGCTGGCAGTGGAGGCCTGTGGGGGAAGACAGAGACCTGTGAACAGGAAGGGAGGCTGAGCCAGGAGAGTGCCCTCAAGGGTAGTCCCACAGATAAACCTCCACATGGGAGGAGCCAGCGGTGAGACAGATAAAGGGGAGCCTTGAGGGGTAGTTGGGGAGATTGCTGGGCTTTGCATTTCAGAGGATCAGGTCAGGGTGACTAGAGGCCACTGGGCAGTAGAGAGTAGACATTCAGAAAGAGCCAGAAGCTAGGAAAAGATTCCAGGCTGACTGGACCTCAGGAAACAGATCAAGGGACATCTGATAGCTCCTGGTCAGAAGCTACTGCCAGAGCTCTTATGAGAAGAGAACGCTAGGGAAAGGTTCCTTAGGCCCAGGAATGGACCCTCAACCTCAGCCTCAAAGATCAGAACTGTTGGCCTGGTCCTGTCTGCCCTCAACACTGGCCTGGCAACTCCCGGGTCTTAGTAGAAGCCAGGACAGCATTAGTGGGAGAGAAACCACTTCCATAAGGATACATGCAGGGGATATGCCACGCTTCTCAGAGCATGGGTCATGCAAGAAGTATGTGCTCCCATTGCTGGGAGGCTGCCAGAGGGTGATTGCAAGTCATGCAGGAAAGGAGGTGCCTGTGGTCTCTGGCAGGAATCCTGGGAGATGGGCATGCAGAAGGGGCAGCTGCTGTGCCCAGTACCTGTCAAGGGCCCCAGCCTTGGGGGCTAACAGTTTGACTCATCATGGTGGGCTGCATCACAGAAGAAGCGTGAGCCCCGCTTGGCAGTACGGGCCGTGAAAGGGACACTCTTCAACACTATGGCCCAGGAGAGAGACACAGTGGTCAGGCCTCATGGTGGGGGGTGGGAGGAAAGCCCAAAGGGGCTAGGTTTGGGAGCTGGGTGCAATGGCCAGGCCCCAGGGAGTGGAAAGAGCCGCCCACCTGTGATGATGTCCTCGATGGTACCATCCTTTCCCTCATAAACAGGCCGGTGTTCCTTGGCCTGTCGCCGCCTCAACTCTGCTATTAACTCCTGCTGTTGCCACTTGTTCCTCTGGGATGGAGTCTAGGCCAAGAACGTAGAGGGGGAAGGAAGTCATCACTAACCTAATGTGGGACTGGTTCCTGCCCCAAGGTGCAGTCTGAGAATGCCATTGCTTGTGCACTGCTAGGAATCCCCAAAGGCCCTCCCTGCATCCCTCTGGATGCCAGCCCACTGGCCCTCTGAGTGGTTTGTCCACTCCAAGTTCTCATCTCCTCTAGCCTGCTGACCCCCAGCCCCCACTCTTTTAGCTTGCCCTCCTCCAGGCCCCAGCTCTTGGTCCCAACCCACCTTGGCATCCAGTTTCTTGGCTTCCTGAGCCAGCTGCTTCTCCCGCATTACCTCCTCCTGCTTCTTGCGGGCTTCATTCTCTTGCTCTGCTTCCTAAGAACCGTGGAAGATGGGTGAGGGGTGAGGCTCACAGGCTGTGAGGGGAGGGGCTGACACTGAAGTAGAGAATGGGTGGCAGTGGGACCTGCTAACTCCAGGTGGCCACCTCTGGAGGGGCACTTCCTGCCCCAAACAATGACAGGAAGGGCCTGGGCCCCCACCCTGCCCACCAGTTCACAGCTAAGAGGCCTGTCGCCAGCTTGCATCACTCCCTTCCCAGGACTCGGAGGAGGAGTCGGAAAAGGCCTATACTTTAAGCCCAGGCTTCTCTCCCACAACCAGTTTTCTCTCAACCAAACTTTTTAAAAAGCTCTCTGCAGCTCACCTTGTAAGAACGAATGAATCGGACAAATACTGGGAAGAACACAGAAGGAGGTGTTGTTTTGGGACTCTCGCCAAAGTAGCGCACAACTGCATTGTAGGCCTCCTGGGGAAGGGGTGGGCAGAACGGGTCACCATGGCAGAAAGAAGCAGCCCAGCTCCTATACTCCCACACCACGGGTGAGAGGCCTGCAGAAAGCAGAGCTCAGGGCCAAAGGGAGGAAAACCAACCACCCAGGCCCCTGTGAGCTGGAGAGAACCCGGGGCTCCCAAAGCTCCCAGAAGTACATGTCTCCAGAGGCAGCTGCCAGCCATTCCCAAAGCGCTCTCTCCCCCACATATAACCAGCCAGCTGCTTGATTAAAAAAAAAAAAAAAAAAAAAAAGAACTAGGGCCACCTAGAGGGGCCTGGCGCTTTGGCCCTGGTTGCCCCCACCCGCCTGTACCCCGTGCTTGCCTCAGCCGTCTTGGCATCCCGCTGGAGCTTGTCTAGTTTGCCTTCATTGGTACTGAGGAAGTTCCGGAGGACACTGTGGTCGTGGATGCTGCACTCCCGCCGAATCAGCTCCATGCCTCGGCCCAGCTCCTTCACATCCAGCAGCACGTTCTCCAGGGACACTGTGGTCACCAAAAGCCTGGCTGAGGACTGCCTAGGGCCTGGCATACCCACCTCCCAGCCAGAGCTACATCAAACTCTGGCCCTCCCCCTCAGCATGGGCTCACTCATGTTCACATACCTGTATGGACATAAGGAAGTGCACACCAAGCTAGCTGAGCCCTCACGGGGGGAGGGAATGGAATAGAAACTGATCTCATGACCCCAAAGAACACAGTAGCAAAGGCAGGCAAGCCACAGAGACTGCTGGTCTCCAAAATGAAACTGCCTCAGGCCTGCCCTAGTATTCATGGGTTGAGCAGCTACCTCATGCCTATAGAGGGCTTTATGATTTTTTCTAGGCACTTCACATACATCATACACAAGATCTCTGGGGCCAGCTTGAGGGAGTTGGGAGAAAGAGCCACCAGTCCCCTTCCTGTTCCTGCTCCCACTGCACCTAGCTGGGAAGGGCTGGGCTGGGCCAGGCCTGGCGCCTGGAGGAAGGCTCCCTTTGGAGTGGCCCCTGCTTATGGCTCCAGCGGAAAGCTTTGAAGTGGTCAGAAAGAAGATAAAAGCCAGAAACAAATGAAACAAGTGTTCCCTCTCCTCATAGCTTCCTGGGATTGTCCTGGGCTGGATGTGAGGGCAGGCCCACCCAGCCAGGCTCGCCTCACCTGCTGCAGCCTTCTCAACAAAGTGCAGCTCATGCCAGAAGTTAGCCAGGTCTGGGTATTTCTCCTTCACTGTCAAGGCGATGAAATGAAGCAGTGTCATCTTCCGGTCAGTGGACTTGGTATCCAACAGCTAAGAGAGGGGGTGAGGGCAGTACATAAAAGCTAAGCACTCTGGCTCCACAATTGCTGCCCACTAGGCTTCCTGGCCGACACTGCCCTCACCATCTTACCAGATCCAGGCTCTGGAGCTTGAAGCCATACACAGCTCCTCGCTTGCTGCTGTTCATGTAGTTCCCCAGTGCAAGTATGATCTGTCCAAAGGATGCGTGGGAGGCAGGTCAGGCTCAGGTCCTGAGGACTCCTTCTTTCTGTCTGTATAGTCCCAGGCCCCCACCTAGGACCTGAGAACCCCCAGCATCCCCATTCACAACCTCTTCCCACCTCCAACATCTGCTTCAGCTTCTGTGAAGACTTGACGGAAGCGGACGCCGCAATGATGGCATTGAGTTGCTGTAGGGCAATATAAACACTGAAGTAACCCCAGGCTGAGATGGGGTAAAGATAGGGAGGGGTTAGAAGGACTGGAAGGGCAGGGGAGGTGACTAGCAGATGGAAGGTGGAGGGACGGCTGTCCAGGACCATGAGTTGAATGAGGGCCGTACCGGTGTGAGCATCTGCAAGTTGTCCTGGAAGTTCCCCAGGAAGGCCATGCCAGCCATTCGCTGGGTCAGCCGCTCCACCTTGCTGAAAAGCAGCATGAAGCGATCCTCAGCCG